GCATCTTGCACAAGTGGCACTGAAAGACAACGGTTCTTCAGATCAAGCAAGTGCAGGCTGTGACTCTAATTCTAGTTGCTGAATGGGGCAGGTTCTCTGCCTTCCTGGATCCCAAGCTTCCTCCAGTGCAGGAATCAGGAAGCATGACTGCTCTGATCCCTTCCAAACCACGGGACAGGGGTTTCACCCAGGCCTTTTCTGCTCTGAGCCCCACAACTGGTCGCTGCACAAGAGGGAAGTAAAATGTAGCTACAGCCAGCAGATGAAAAGCCAGGCATCCTGAGATATTCTGTGAAGTGGGAACAGGGAAGCAGATGGCTTAGAATGTCCAAAACTTGTCAACCAAAGCTGAGGGAATGCCTCGGTTGAGTCTGCTAACGAGCCTGTGTTCTATCTGCTTGGCTGTCACTGATTTTGGTGAGAGACTTAATCACTTCTCAACACGCTGTTCCAAAGGACCCACTGTGTGTCAGCGGCTGTCGGGGGCCACACACACACACACACACACACACACACACACACACACACCTCAGTACCTCTCTGCACCCTTCCCAGGAACAACTCTGAAGTAGCCATTGTACCAGTTTTACATCTGACCAAATGAAGCCTCTGAAATTCCAGGGATGAGCGGGAAGAGGCTCTGGGCACTGCTTGGATTCCAGCCCCTCCGAAGCCCTTCCAAAGAGCCCAGCACTGGATCCACCTCCCCAGCCAGAAGCAGTCCTTTGGCCCTGTCCCCTGCCAGCCTCAGAGTGCCCTCCTAGGTCTCAGCAGATGCCCCTTCCTTTTTGTGCAGACCCCACTATCCCCTTAGCTATTTCCCTGGCGCTGGACTGCGGCTCACCCTTTACAGTGCCATCCCCAACCTCTGCTTCCTTCTTGCCTTCCAGGGCAGGCCGAGGTCAGACTTTTTCTTTCCCTACACTCGCTCTTGATGGTCTCTGGCCTTCGCCCCACTGCCCAGCACCCCTTACCCGGCTTCTCCATTCTCACCACTTCTCTTGCTTACCAGACATGCCTGTGAGGGGCGCTGGAGGAATCTCCCGAATAAACCTTCCTTCCGGGCTGCCGCCTGTCCCAGAAACTCTGGATCATCGGTGACTTTGGTTCTGGAGCCAGCTTGCTATCTTGCTCATCGTTCTCCTTTATCCTTTGTTATGTGGCCCAGCAGCCATCCTTCACAGACTCTTCTCAGCCTGTCGACACTCTTTTCCTTCCATTTCTCTGGTGTCAGCCCTTCTCAGACTTTCCTGCTTGCCTACCTGTCCGCCTGCCTCTCTTACAGGCTTGTCTGCTTGGTTCTTCCTATCTCTGTGATACAACCTCAGCATCCTACCTGGCACCGGACACTTTTGTTTTTAATTTGCGGGGCAGGTGTGTGTGCGGGGGTGAGACAGGGTCTCACCATGAATTCAGGCTGGTCTTGAACTTGCTATGTAGACTAGGCTGGTCCTGAACTGGTGGCAATCCTCCTGCCTTAGCCTCCAGAGTGCTGGGATGACAGGCGTGTGTCACCACACCTGGCTGTGGGACACTTTCGAAGGTAGAAAGGTTAAAACTGGTGAGTCTCCAAGTTTGTGCTCTCTTTGAGTTTGGTATGGACCTTCTGTTGGGTTCATCTTCCTTGGGATTTCTTCCCTTGTGGTTGCACTGAGACAGACCTGGGACTACCTTTGCATGGGGATGTTCCTTACCATGATGGTCTGAGTCACTTAGGCCAAGGAAGTACCCCAAGCTCTGTGTTATCTTGTCCAGTCCATGACGCCCTTCCAAGTCAGAGTTCAGACAATACCCTAGAGTACAATCAGCCTGGGGTTCCCCTCTGCCTTTCCTCCTTTCTAACCTGGGAAGCTGATGGGCAACTGTTCCAGGATTACTTGGACATGAACACGATAAGGCCCAAGGCAGACTGATGAGCACACGCACAGGGGAGCCAAGGGTGGGGTGGTGTAAAGAAGAACTGTTCAACACCTCCCAGAGAGAGCAGCAAAGAGTCCTAGAAAAGGAAGAGGACCCTGAGCTGGATCTTGAGGAATAACTAGTTTATCATGACGATGAGGAAAGAAAGGATATTCTAGGAGCCAACCTCCTTCCACTGCCAATGAACAAAAATAGTTTTGTAAAGGCAAAAATCATCACAGGTCATGAAGTCTCTGCCTCTTGTCTGTCTGTCTGTCTGTCTGTCTGTCTGTCTCTCTCTCTCTCTGTGTGTGTGTGTGTGTGTGTGTGTGTGTGTGTGTGTGTGTGTGTTGGGTGGTAGAGATCTGAAGAATGCGTAGGATTTGAAATTATCCCACAGGGAGACACTGATAGGCTTTTCAAAGTGATATAACGAAGACTGAGAAAGAGAAGTCTAGAAGATCTCTCCAGGTTTCCGGTTTGTCAAATGTGAAATCCCCAAGTTTCCTACTTCAGTCCACTGAGTACCCATGCAAATAACCCACAGGTGACCTTTGTCTCTTCTGTTCAACTCTGACTAAAGTCCACACTCTGAGTCCACGGCTCACAAGTCTTTCCTTTCTTCCCAGCAGCTGCCTCCCACCAGCTCAGGCCTTCATCACTCCCCTCACCATCTTATAGTGAGAACCTTCCCACTGGACTCCAGTCTCTCATCTCTCCCCAGTCCCAGTTCTCCCTGAAAGGGCAAAGTACGACGTATCTGATCCTGACAGTGCCTCACATTGCCCTTCCGTCTGGAGAAACCAGGTTCCTCCAGCCTTGGCTCAGCCTCTTGCCCCATCGAACCCTGGGAGCCAACCTTTCAGCATACATCTCTTCTACCTAGGACATGGTCCACAAAGGCTTTCAGATGCTCTTAGTGGAAAGTAACTGCCTTTAGCCAGGTGCAGTCACTGATGCCTACAATTCCAGCTACTTGGAAGGGTGAAGCCGAACAATTACAAGTTTGAGACCAGCTGGGCAACTTAAGGAATGCTCATCTAAAATAAATAAATAAATAAAACCATAATAATAAAGGCTAAGGATGCAGGCCAGCGCTGAATTTAATCACCAGTACTGGGGAAAAATGAATTATTTTTCCTCCATACTCCCCAAGTGTTTTATTTGGACCGCACTGTATTCATCCAATTATCTCTTCGTTCCTTCAAGCAATAAACAGGAGCACTACTACATACCTCAGTCCACCGGTTTACATCATAGCTTTCCATAGATTTCTCTTGCTTATCCTGCTAGACTGAAGCCTAGGCAGTAGGAAGGGTGCTTCTTCCACCTATGCATATCCCCTGGAACCTCTAAGCCCAGCAAACCACAGGTACTCCAAAAATAAAATGATTGAAATGAATAGGGAAATTACCAAAGTTTCCTTAAACAGTGAACTGTTGTAAGTGCATGCAAAATCAATTTCAATGATAGATTTAAAATATGATTCAATATTTTTCCAAGACCACCTGCCACCTCCTGTCCTATTCCCCCACAACATACCAACTCCCCAACACTACGTGGCTTTTATAGGAGCAGTCGTTCTTGGCCCAACCTAATGGAAGAGAGTTGATGAAGCCAGGGGTGTGTTCTAAGGCATTCTATTCTACCCCCACAAGCAGACCTCCCACACCGCACCTCCCAAACTGCACCTACCTACCTCACTCCCACCCTCAACGCCCAGTAGAAAGAGCAGGGCCCTAGCCCGAGCCCACACACAGCAAGCTGAATGAGGAAGACCTCCCCGGAGAAGGCTCGAGGCTCCAAGGGAGCCAGGGCATCTCACTTGCTGCGGACATTCAGCGACCATCCCATAGTCTCCTCGGGATTTCTACAGGGAAGCACTCCGCTGAACGTTGCACTCAGCGGTGTCTGGACTCACCCGGTCCCCCAGCACCGCCCTCCCTCTCGCCAAACGTAGGTCTGGACTCCGGAATGCCCTCGTGCCTGTCATTCCGGTCTCTGCCACCAGCTCAGGCCAGACCTCTTCACACCCCAGTGTCCCTTATCAAGGTCTCTGCTGTTCCGACAGGCTGCTGAGGACAGGTTCCTGGCGAACTCCCGGCAAGGGTCCTAGGTCCTTTCCCTGCTCGAGTCAGCCTTGCGCTTTCATGGATTGTCAAGGATTAAGACTGGCAGCCCAAAGACTTAATACGTGAATGCAAATCCGAAATTGGGGGAGGGACCAGGTTTTGGGAAGAACTCGACTTCAGAGGGAAAGATTTCCCTACCGGAACCTTCCCCACCTCCCTGGCAGAGGCCAATACCCTACCCAAAGATACCCTTGTGCCCCGAGGGCCCCTTCCCCGGGCGGGTGCCGGAGACAGCGCCCCAGGCCGGAGTACCCGAATAACCCCACTCTCGGCGCCGGAGGGGACCAGACGACCTCCCCGGGATAAGCACTTCTGACCCCGTCCTTAATGTCCCCAGCAGCGCGTCTGCGGTCGACACGGTCACCACCCTGCTCCGTCCGGCCACCCCTTCCCCGGACCGGATGGAAGAGGAGTTTGTACCACCCAGCGCGGGACCCTGTTTGGGCGCCCCACTCCCCGCCTTTCAGGGGCTGGGATTCCCGCGCCCGATCTGCCACTGAACTTTCCCCGGCGCGTGCACATGGTCTCGGAGGTGGGTGCCCAGCTCCCCGAACCCCGCGCCCCC